GCCTCTGAAGGTTTGTGGGAAAGCTACACAAGGCAGCCGGCCAGTCTCACCACATAACAAATAGTCCTTTCCGTGTGACCTGGGGCTCCCTGGTGCTACAGGTCCCTCACCTCCCTACTGCCCACCTCTGAGCCAGAACCACGGGGTGAGAGGTCCGGCACTCTGGAGCTGTGCCCCACCTGTATTGGGACAGAGCTCCTGTCCTCTGGCTGTGACACCATGCAGTGCCCCAGGAGGGCTGATGGGACCCGCGGTGTCAGGTGGCAAGGCTCTGAGCTCCCGAGAGGTCAGGCCCTCATTTCGCTAAGCAGGTTTCTGCACTTGCAAGGCTGGGCCTGATGGGACATTTAGAAAGAAAGAACCAGGGTGCCCATGTCAGCAGGGTCCTGGGACTGTCGCCAGCACTGGTTTTGCGCCCTGGCTGCTGACATGCTGGGAGAGGCATGCGGATGCTGGTGGCTGGCTCTCATTTCTTCTCCCCTGGGTGCTCTGAGATCCAGAGAGTGCCCTGTGGACTTGGGGTGATGGTGCTTGCACTCGCCTGCCCAGAGTCAGGGCACCTGGAGCATCACCCACTGACTCAGAGCAATGGTGGCCTCCCGCCTCCCACCCCAGGCCCCAGGCAGCTGCCTGCCCCTTCCTTGTTCCAGGCAGCCCACGTGGCATCCTGAGTGGTGCTGGATCTGAGCCCGGCTGGCCTGGCCGTTGAGCTCTCTGATCTCCCCAGTGACTGCTGTGTTCAGGGAGCTTGAGGGGTTGTGGACGCCTGAGGCTCAGGACCCGCTGTCCATCCGGCTCTAAGACCCTGAGCAAGTCCCTTGCCCTCTCTGAGCCTGTTTCCCCAGCTGTAAAATGGGTGTGATAATGGATGGGACCCGCCTCCTGCTGTGAAGGTGCAGTGAGTCCAGCTGCTGGGATATGGGGTTCCTAATACAAGCCAGTGCTGGGGGTTGCCTCACTTTTCCTGACCTGAGGGATGGGTGAGCTGATGTGGGGGGTGGGGGGAGGGTGCCTGGTGAGCTCTTCATGGAGGCAGCAGTTATCTGTCTCCTTATAAGAAAGGCAAACGTCCAGCTGCCTGGGCCCTGCCTCAGACCTGCCAAGTCAGGGCCCCCTAGAAAGGGGACATAATCATGGGGACCCCCACTATTGGGTAGAGGGTCTGTGGGTCCTGAGAGCCCCCAGCTGACCCCAGAATTGAAGCCAGGGAAAGAAAGGCCTGGGTGGGAACGAGGGGACTGTGCAAGCTCGGGGTTCTGGTGGACCAGGCAGGCCCGGTCTACCCCTCACAGGCAGGTGACCGGGGGGCCCTGCCAGAGCCTGCTGGGGAGGCTGCGAGGATTCAGCGAGCTACTGTGTGGGTGTGCAGGGTGCGGGCCCAGCTGCACCTGGGTCCGAGGACACCTGAGAGTGGGTGCTGGAGGATGGGGGCACCAAGAATGGGGAGGGAAAGGGTACCTCTCGGGGCCCACCCAGGTTTCCTGGGTGGCGGTCTGCACTCGCTGGGAGCGCCGCCAGCTGAGCCAGCTCGTGCTGGCTCCCTCAGCCACCTTGCGGGGGAGCGGCAACTGTACCCCTCACCAGCACCCAGCATCCAAGAGTAGGCCCCTCCCCTGCACCCTCACATCCCCCCATGCCCAGGCCAGCTTCTGCTCTCACTGACTTACAGGGACAGGGTCTCTCCCGGCTACCTTGGGCGGAAAGGTCGAGTGAGCCCTGCCAGGGATCTGAGCCTCCAGGTGGGTCTGGGGCCCCCCGGGGCAGCCTTGGCTCTCTCCCTACGAGGCCTTGAAGGGGGCAGGGCAGGAAGCCAGCACCAGGAGAATGGGGCTACTCCTGTCTGGTGGCTCCTAGGGCCTAGAGAGGCACCTGCTTTGCCCTCAGGCCACACGACCTCGGTAAGGTCTGGTGGGGCCCCGTGTACATGGAAGCTGCCAGAGGGATTTAGGCCAGGCGAACAATGTGCACGCTCCAGACCCAGTCCAGCTGCTGTGCAGAGGCTGCAGTGGCTCCCACTGCCATGCAGTGGGTCCTTCCCCACCAGCCCAGCTCCAGCCAGCCCTCCTTCCCTGCTGTTCTGCACAGCTAGAGCCCTGAACACCCTCGCCTCTGGCCTTTGCGTTTTTTGTTCCTTGACCACAAGTGCTGTTCCTCGCTGTCTCCACAACACCTCCGCCCCTTCCTGAGGGCCCTCATCATTGTCCACCTTCTGGGGCAGAGTCCGTGTTGAGGGCAGCCCCGAGGGCAGGATCCTGACGTGTGAGTTGCCCTATAAACTGAGTGCTCTCATGTGCCGGCCCATCACCTGGTAGCCTCATGTAACCTCCCATCTGCCCAGCGAAAGGTGCACAGCCTTGCCCCCTGTATGCAGGAGTAGAGAGCTCCAGACAGGTGTGGTGACTTGCCCCAGGTCTCATAGCCAGGAGGCAATAGAGCTGGGATCCAAACAAGATTCAAGAAAGACTCATGAGGTCCCAGGGTGCACCTGTGGTCCCACCACACTCAGACCCCAGAGCCTCCCCCTGCAGCCTCTGTTTGCTTGGGTTTGAATCCCAGACCTGATGCCTCTTGCGCAATGAGAAGAGTGCCTGTTGGAAACGGCTGGTGCTTTGAAGCCTGCAGACCCACGTGGCTGCCGGCATGCCCCACACTTGCTCTGTGCCCTGTGCGCTCGGCCCCTGTACACAGGGCTCAGGTGAGAACGAAGGAGCGGTGGCTGTCCGGGGCCAAGAGCAGGACCTGCATCCTGTCCTACGGGAGTAGATGGCCTCCAGCCTGTTTCCCTCTCCTTTTCTGCTGAAGGAGGCCGCCCAGCACCCTCGGAGCCCGGCCTGCTCCACCCTCAGGCCCCAGCAGGCATCATGGGATGAGTGTGTCCAGAGCCCATCTCTCACGGCTCTGAAGATAGTGCCACGTGTGGAGTTGGTCCCGCCTGGCCCCTTCCTCCACCTCTCGCTGACCGTGAGGCTGTGAAACAAGCGCCGTGTGAGGAGGGCCAGTTCACTGAGGTGGCCCCGGCAGGGTCCCCCCACCCCTCCCAGGCGGGGTTGTCCTTTATCTGCCTCTCTGGTCTGTTTGATCAGAAACAGTGTTCCTGCCCAGCCCCAGTGTGGAAGGGCTTTGGAAAGTCAGAACAGGCCCTCCGTCCCGTGGTCCAGCCTCGCATCTGAAACTCTTTTCCAAGTGTGTTGGTGGGACTGCCTGCCCCGGGGTGGCCTGGTCAGCTGAAGGGCTGGCCGGGACAGCCTGCACCCGTGGGGTGGCCCAAGGTCCACGGTGGCCAGCCACACTTACCTTCTTTGGTTGTCACCGGGGATTGGCCACGGGCCCTGCAACCAAGTCTGGTGTTGATGGGCCCCACAGCTGTGATGCATGTGTGCCCAACCATCAGACTCCTGACAGGCAGGCCATGGGGGAGGGGCAGGGCGCACAGCAGGAGGGAGGCCAGCAATTGCAGCTGAGTGGACAGCAGGTGCTGCGAGGCTGGGTGGCTGCTCACTTTGGCTGCTTCCCCTGCTTGGGGCCCAGCAGGGAGGGCCTCCGCTCTCACCCCACAGGGCCCTGCAGTAAGGAGAGCCCTGAGAGCCCCTCCCCGGTGCTGCGGATGGGTGGGCATCTCCACTCTGTGAAGGGGGAGGTAGGGGCAGATGAGGGGAAATTTTCACAGCATTGGGCATAAAATAATGGTAAATGCCATTTGTTAGCATTATTAATCACCATCCCCAAAGCCAAGCCACCCCAGACACTCATGTGTGTCTGTGCGTCTGCCCTGACACCCCCCAATCACGGGGGGCTTCTAGGAGGAAGAATGCAGGGGGAGAGCAGAGGGGACAAGAGCTGTGGTCACAGAGACTGCCAAGGGGTGCTGCCCTACCAGGTCCCAGCCCCTGAGTGAGACCCCCACGGGGTTAGCAGGATGAGCTCAGGGCAGTGGGGGCCATGCCTCTTCACGTATCAGGAAAAGAACGTCCCCCTCAGCAGCCCTGAGCAGCGGGGCCGCCCAGAATCCCAGCCACTGCTCCCAGGTCTTTGCGGCTCTCCCGGGCCCCGGCTGACCTGTATTAAGATGTAGGGGGAGACCCAGTGGTACCCCCCTTCACCTGCAAAGAGGCAGCGGCTGGCTCAGGGTACATGCAGCCGGTCAGGTTCCCTCAGAGGCCTTTTTCTCCGGGTCCTCTGTGAAGCCGGGGACTCAGGCCCCCACCCAGGCTTGGTTTTGCGACTTTTACCCCTTCTCCACATGTCTGACCGTGCAGGACTCTGGACACAGTGTCCAGGGCCACAGCCCTTGGTCTACGGATAACACTTTGAGTGGCCAGGCCTCAAACAGCCTGAAATTGACTATGTCCCCAGCCTGGCTGCTCCCAGGAATCACCCAGGGCGAGGAGGTGGTTAAGTTGAGGTTCCCACCACCCAGACCATCCCAAATGGGGCCCCAACTCACTGCAGTAGCCTTATCTGAGACCCTGATGGAAATGCAGATTCTTGGGCCCACCCCTCACCTGCTGAATCAAAATTGGGGGTGGAGAGGCCTGCACACGTGTCTGAACAGGCCCTGCAGGAGGTACTGGTGGAGGCTGGCCTGGGGGGTGCTGCCCGACCCCCTGGTCTGCAGGACCAGGGCCACCCACCCCTCCAGTGAGGACCTCAGCCCTGTTCTGGCCAGCCCAGGCCTCTCGCAGCTGCACCCTCCAGCCTCCCTGAATGGACTGACCCGAGCCCACCCTCTGGCCCAGGTGGCTGGAATGTCAGCCACCTGGGAACACAGCTGGGACTTATCTGCAACTGGCCAGGCCCTGGGACTGGACCTGGCTTTGTGGGTGGAGACAGGAGCCACCTTGGGTCCAGCTGGGTGTCCCCAACTGGCCCAAACCCAGCTGCTGGTGGGGGGGAGGGGCATCGGTCAGGTGCCAGGTTGGTGGGGGGGCCTTGCTGATCCCCTTCCCTCTCCACCTGCTTCACTGGCTTTCTCTTCTCTCCTCCCCCCACCTTCCCCACAGCAGCGGACAAGAAGGAGAAGAAGGCTGCAGCGATGCCCGACTCCCCTGCTGAGGTGAAGACGCAGCCCCGGTCCACGCCCCCCAGCATGCCTCCCCCTCCATCCTCTGTGACCCAGGGCACCACTCGGCACCCCTCCTTCACACCACATACAAGTGAGTAGCTCCAGGGCCGGGCTGAGCGGAGAGGTGCCTCTGGGGCCCCTCCAGTTGTCTGAGGTACCAAACCTCATTCATGTGAATAGAGCCAGTGCTGTGGTCCCTCCACCCTAAACCCTTCAATGCTGCCCAAGAGGCTCTTGAGAAGGCGGATCTGAACATGGCTCAGAGCCCAAGCTGAGGTCCAAATCCCAGGTCCTCTCTTCTGCAGGTGTGTGTGCCCTTGGGCTAGCTACTTAACCTCTCTGGGCCTGGCATTCTTCTTCTATAAAGCAGGGCTGGCCATAGCTCCACCTCACCCAGCTACTGCAAATACTACTGGGTTAACAGAAGTTCTCGCCCAGTGGCCAGCACGTCGTGAGCGTCCCATCAAAGTCGGCTGTCGTGTGTGCAGCTCAGACACAGTCAGGCGGCAGGTCACCAGAGCACAGGTGAATTCGGTCAGGCCTGCGCCCTTCCAAAGAGCCCGTCAGAGGTGGCTCTGGCCTTTGAGGAGCTCCACGTCAGCTGAGATACACCAGGGGTTCTGCAGCCGGGCCTCAGCAGGTCAGCCAGAAACTGGGGTTAGCAGGGCCTCAGCTACCAGCAGCAGGGCGGGTATGACAGACCCTCGGGCAGTGTCTTGCCAGCCTGGGGTAGATCCAGGTCGATCATCTTGGCACTCACCACCGATCTGGGATCTCCGGAGCCCACAGCCACTGCTGGGTCCTATTCCATAGAGTCAGAGAAGTTGGGGACTTGGTGACTCTGGGTGCTGAACAGTTGGGAAGGAAACCCTTGGGCTTGGGCCAGCATGGGGATGGTGTCCCCTGACCCCAGCGCCGGGGCTTAGCAGTGTGTTCCAACGGTTTCTGGCGGGCAGTGGGGAGAATCCATGTGCCACCCCACCCCAGTGTTCAGAGGCCAGAAGCCCCACACCTGGGAACCCTTCCCCAGGCTTTGAAACCCAAACAAAGCTTCTCTGGGGGAGGCAGGAGCCTCAGGCTCCTTAGCCTGGGGCTCCTAGTCCCCACCGGGCTGGGAAGGAAGAGCTGCTGCCTCCAGCCGGGGCCCAGAGCCTGGGGTGGGCCGCAGGGCCTGGCCCAGGTTTATTTGTGCCTGCACCTACAGGAAGCTGGTTCTACCACCCAAAGCCAGCCCCGGCTTCGTCGGGGCCTAGCCTCCCTCAGGAAAAAGGCATTGGCTGTGGGCTCAGGCTCGGCCCCTTGTTTGTAGGATGTTGGCTCAAACTAGTCTCCTGGCCTCTCCGAGCCTTGGTGTGGTAAATGGGGTGAGACCACCCGATTCCACGTGTGGCAGACTGGAAGCACAGAAATCCCAGCACACAGTAGGAGCTCAGTGACTAAACACCCTTCTCTGCACCTTCACCTGGCAGAGAAGGCGCCAGCTCCCCATTTTTACCAGGTCTGGGCTGAGGTCTCCATGCAGCACAGAGGGTGGAGCAGGTCCCCGACCTGCCTCCTGCACCAGGACAGGGCCCCGGGCAGCAGGGTGCTCACTGCACTGCTCTCAGCCCTCGGAGCCTTGTCTGCCTGCATCAAACACCTCAGAAGGGGCCAGAGGCTGCACTGTCTCCCACATACTGTTCTTGCAAGGCCACTGTGGCTGCCTGGCCATTCTGCCCTCCCTTTCGAAGAGTCAGTCCTCACCTGTGACCAAATCGTAGCCAACATCTCTGTTCACTCAACAGCTGCCACCCCGTCAGGGCCCCATAAGGCAGAGAGAGGGGGCACGAGCTGTGCTGAACTTCACAGCCTGCCCCTCAGCCAGGGGGAAGAGGCATGCGTTGCTCATGACAGGGCGGCAGCAGCAGCTCCCAAGAGAAAATGCCGCAGGCCCCCACCTAAAGTAACAACCCCGCTCATGTTTGCTCCAAGCAGAAGAAACCGGCAGGCACCTGGCGGTCAGGCCAAGGCTCCGAGCTGCGTCTCCCTCAACCTGCTTTTCTTCTTGGTCCAGGAGCCCGGGTTCCAGAAAGCCATGGTCTGGGGGCCAGACGTTCCAGGTTGGGGATGGGGCTAGGGTCAGTGGACGCTGCCCCTGTGTGTTTGATGAGGCCTGTGAACAGACGCGCATGTGGGCAGCAAGCCTGTGTGTGGCTCGCGGTCCTCCCCTCACACCCTTTGCATCCCCGCGCGCCCCCACCTCTGCGGGCTCGTGCTCCTGGATCCGAGGTCCCGGCTCTATTTAGAGCGCAGAGGTCATAAGAGACAAGTCGTTCTTTTTTAAGCCGACACTTTAGTTTTATCGGGCTGCTGGGACCATCTATCCAAGTGTCAGGCCACCTCCAAGGTGGCCTCAGATTTTTTCCCTGCCGAGGAATTCCCTGAAAGCGGGGTGGTTAACCATGTCCAGCACCTGGCTAGTGGCAGCCCAAATGGAAGGTGCCCCTGCGCTCAGCCACGGATCCCTGCCAAGAGCCTCCCAGCTTCCCTGGGACCAGCCTGTGAGCCAAGCTGACCAGGGGCTGGCCTTGAACCAGGCTGTGGTTTTCTTGCCCAGTGACTGCCCTGGGCACAAATTCATTTTGGAGTTGAAGCTGTCGTGTGGCCAGGGAGGTGGGCAGGAGGACTAAAAGAAGTCTGGGGGGAATGTAAGGAGCTACTCTATAGCTGGGAGGACCCTCAAAGGGCTAACACTCCATCCCACCCTTGATTACTCCCTCTGACAAGGGGGTCACTCTCTGATTAGGGCAGGACAGTTTGTCTTCTTGCAGCTTCCGCTCACTAACTCCAGCTCAGACACATCAAATCTCCTTTCCTGTTTGGTGCTTTCTCCCCCACTGGCAGCTCATTTTGGAACCACCACTGGGTTGTCTGTCAATGGAGACCCCAAGCCCTGATTCATGAGTCAGTTCATGCTCCAGGTCCCTTGAGGATGGTGCTGAGTGGCTTCACCAGGTGCCTGGTACACCAGGAAGAGAGCTTTTTAAGGACCAGGGTGTCCCACCCATGCAGATGGAGATGCCAGACCTCTTACAGACCCCTAGAAGGTCCTGCCAGAAATGTCCCTGAGAGATCCCACCATCCAGCTTCATCATTTTACAGAGAAAACCAAGGCCCAAAGAAGGGAATGACTGGCCCAAGGTGGTGACACTCCCGATCCCCAAAACTGCTGCCAAGAAGCAGAGAGGGGCAGGGCCAATTGAAGACACCCGCAGGGCAGAGCCACCTGCCCACGGCCCCTTTCCTCACAGAGTGTTTTTCTTATTTTGCTTACAGATCGAGAGGATGGGCCTGCGATGTCTCTGCCCCATGGCCGTTTTCATGGCTGCTTAAAATGGTCCATGGTCTGTCTTTGTAAGTAAAATAACAAAAACCACAGGCCTCGTGGGAGGTTCTCACCTGCACCCTCCGCCCTGAGAAGGCTGTGCCACTGGTCCCTCTTGCTTGCACAGCCCACTATTGCATCTGTATGTCGGTGAGGCCTGAGCAGAGGTCCGAGGGATGGGCCCAGGATAGCAGAGCAGTCCAAGTCCTCGGAACCCCAGTCACAGCCCAGCCCTGCTCCTCACGAGCTGTGTGACCTTAGGCAAGTGAACACCCTCTCTGTGTTCCTTTTTCCCAATCCACAAACGGGGTGAATATAGCAGATCCCAGAGTTGTAAGACGGTAAATGTCAGTGCAAGTTCATAGCTCAGCATCTCAAGGGCAGACGCCAGCCTGGGTGGAATCTCAGCTCCTTCTCTTCCCAGTCAAGTGAACTTGGGCAGGCACCATGACCTGTGCCTTGGTTTCCCCACCCGGAACTCATCAGATGTCATTAGTGGAGCCTGCAGGAGGTGTGGCACACACTGGGTGCTCAGTGGGTACTCATCACTAGTGGACCTTTCTGGCACAGTGCTCAGGCCACATCCAATGTCCATAATAGGAAGTTTTCATGGAGCGATGCCCCATGCCAGCCAGCGACAGGACAGGTACCCGCTGCAAGCCAGTTGGACTGCACAGCCCAGGCATGGCTGCTGCATAGCTCTGGGTTCCAAGAAGAGGTGACATAACAATTGTGTGGTGTTCATGTCCTGTGATGCGTGGTCCCCCTTGCCGCTATTCTGTGACGCCTGGCCTTGCTCTCGTGTCCAGCTCATCCACTGAGCTGCAGTGCTCTTAGGACTGTGTGATTCCCAGCTGCAGAGCCGCCCTGAAGCAGGGAGAGGGCTGGAGTGGAAGCTGTTTTTGGTTCATCATCCCAGCCTGACCCCCACCCAGGCCCAGGGCTGGGGGAGCTGCGGGGGTGCTAGTGTGTGCCCCCAAACTTCAGCCGGGGACACGTGTGCAGTCTAACTTAGTAACACACCTGTTGTGGAATGAAAGCACTTGTGGCTGGGGTTATTTTCGGCGTCTCTTTAGCAAGCTGCTGAGACTGCCCGGCAGCCCGAGGGAGGGAACACAGGCCAGCGAGGGCAAGCAGGCCTCCGAGAGGACCCAGGCGCCGAGGGCAGGCTGGTAAGGGAGCTGCAGGCTGGGCCAGGGGCCGTGGGTGGGGACCCAGGCCGAGTGGACAGCCATACATCTTAGAAGCCTCTGAAAGGTCCAGACCCCAGGTGATAGCCCAACTCTGCCACAAGGAATGAGTCCCCCACTGTGGAGAGGTCTTCCGTGGCAAGGGGCCATCTCTTGACCTGGCTGGAGTGACCGCCAGTGTCTGTCATCTGTCTTGACCAGGGCGTGTGCGTGTCAGGGTCCACCATGGGGTTGGCTGGAGCTCGCCGGCAAGACAGAAAATTAGCACAAAAGCGGGACCTTCTGGTCTAAGCGTCCCCTAGATGATGCCTCAGACAGGGTGAGGGGCAAGGCCTCTTCCTGCCCTGTGTCTGGAGTTTGCTCTCCATCCAAGAGCGAGGAGCACAGTCTGGGCGAGGCGCGCCTCTCCTGTGGGACCATCCCAGAGCCCACATGTCACTGCTGGGGCCCACACGGCGCTTCTAGGATCATGCAGACCAGGGAGGCAAACAGGTTTCAGCTTGCACGGCAGCTCCATCTCCGGGGCAAGGGAAGCCCTGCTGAGAAGGTCTCGAGCCTCCACAGCAGGGTGCTGGGCTCCGTTCCTGCGCCCAACCGTCCCTCCCCGGGAAGGAGGCAGCACATCTGCTCCTGTGCAAACCTGGCCTTCAGTCCGTGGTTTCCAGACTTCTGCCACGTAGGGGCCGGTTACTGATGAGTGATCGCCCGCACATAAAAGCAATCAAGGTCAAGCATTTCCGGTTCCTTCCAGTGGTGGAAGGACAACCTTGCTCTCTAAGCCGCAGAAGCCCGATGTGGAGGGGCCAGGTACCTGTGGAGTGGAGAAGCTCCACCCCTGCTTTGGGCCAAGGGCTATTTGCATATAAAGGAACTGGTGCCAGGCCCCAGTCTCACCCACATCTAGGCTAGTCCAGCTGGTTTGGGGCCTCAGGCAGGATGTCCGCTCCCAACCCCTATGCCCAGAGTGCCCACACGTGTAGGACAAGGGAACGGGCAGATGAGCATACAAGGGGCTGAGTGTAAAAACGTAAGTGAGCCGCCTAGAGCAGGTGCCTGTGCAGCAGCTGAGGACACAAGGTGTGAGAGGCCCCCAGGTTTAGCAGTCGAGCCTCAGGCCTCCCAGAGGTGCCCTGTCCCCCAACCCTTGGCCCCCTCCACCATCACCAAGGGCCCTGAAAGCCTGTGACCTCTGACCTCTCTTTAGACCTGAGAGATCATGGCTAGGGTATCTGAGGCTGGGGGACTGGCATACAAGTGGTCAGACACAGAGGCCTCCCCCAGACTACAGTGTGAAGCCCTATCACCCAAGGGTGAGGGAGGACATCCTGCCTTAGGACCATTTCACAGCACCCCTGGCCTCTGTCAGTCCTGGGACTCCCCGGGACAATAGCTCCAGTGGGAGGGCCTGGGGCCCCAGCAGTGTGCTCACGGCAGGCCTCTCAGACAACTTGCTCGTCCTCCACATTTGGCCTGGGGCCCCTGTGCACACGTCTGGCTGTGTAGCAGCCACACAGCAAGCCAGGCTGGGGCTCCCCTGCCCAGCTCCAAGCCCACCTGCCCTGGGGTATCCCTAGCCTCAGGCAAAGGCATTGGGGTCCTTGTGTGGGCAATGGCACCTCTTTGGGAGTGGGCACCTCTCAGAGCTGTTGTGGTGCAGGTGGGGTCACCAGCCCCCCAGGGTGGATGAGTGGCCCCTCCTGAGAAGGGCTGAAGTGGCCCAGCAGACCCCTAATATTGGAGAAGCCCCTCTGCCTGTCCACAGTAGACACTGAGCAGCCTGGCTGGGAGGTAGGTGGAGCCAGGCAGCACGGGGGCCAGGCGTCCCCCTGGGGTATGGAGGGCCTGAGCATGCAGCCCCGCCCACTGAGGACCTGGGGCGAGGCTGCACCTGTTCAGGCCCCAGTCTGCGCATCTGTAAAGGGTGTTGGTGCCTCCGTCGTGTCCTTGTGACTCTACTCGGGGACTCCAGCTCTCTGCTGTGCTCCTCACACCTCTCTCTTCCCCTACAGTAATGAACGGCAGCAGCCACTCGCCGACGGCCATCAACGGCACGCCATCCACGCCCAACGGCTTCAGCAATGGCCCGGCCACCTCGTCCACGGCCTCACTGTCCACACAACACCTGCCCCCAGCCTGCGGGGCGCGGCAGCTCAGCAAACTCAAGCGCTTCCTCACCACCCTGCAGCAGTTCGGCAGCGACATCTCCCCAGAGATCGGGGAGCGTGTGCGCACACTTGTGCTGGGGCTTGTGGTGAGTCCGGGCAGCGTGGCCTCAGAGGATGTGTGTCTGCTGAGCAAGGACACGTGACATGGGGCCGTGCCCAGCCCTGGGGCCTGCTGCCCCAAGAGGGCCGGGTGGACGGGTCCCAGGCTGATGTCCGGTGGTTTTCTCCCCTCAGAACTCTACACTGACCATTGAGGAGTTTCATTCCAAGCTCCAGGAGGCCACCAACTTCCCGCTGCGCCCCTTTGTCATCCCTTTCCTGAAGGTAACAGCAAACCCTACTCCCTCTGCCAAGGCCTCCCCCCAGAAGCCCCCAGTCCGTTCCCTGCCAGCTCTGACCTGCATCACGCTCAGCCCACCGGTGCCCCAGGGGAACAGCTCTGACCAGGCTGGAGGGGTTGGCTGCTGAACCAAGTGCTCTAAGACAGAACCCCCCAGTCAGTCCTGCAGTTATTGGCCAAAGGCACTCATCCGCCGGACAGCTGTTTCTTGAGTGCCCGCTATGTGCCAGATACTGTGCGAAGTTCAGGGATATAGCCGTGAGCAATGCAGACATAGTCCCTTCTGGAGCCAGCCAGTGGCCTGGAAGGAGGAGAGGCAGCCGACCAGCAGTAGCTGTAAACTCTGTGGTGTGTGATGTGAGGAGGGGGCAAATGAGGAGGACTGAGGAGGGACGAGTGGGAGCCTGGTGGATGGCAGGGCACAGAGCTCTCCTTCCAAGCATGTGCAAAGGTCCTGAGGTAGGGTGTGCCTGCTGTGTGTGAGGGACAGTGAGAGGGCTGTGTAGCTAGAACACAGTGAAGGGGAAAGGGACAGTGGCCAGATGGAGGGCCAGATGGGTGGACAGACAGGTGGTGGGTGGTTATGTTGGCAAAAAGGTGAAGAGCTGAATACTGTCAGATATAAAAAAGGTTGTGTGGTCAAACATGGAGGGTAAACCGCTGACCAGGGCCTCTCAGCAGTGGTGGCAGGGGCCTATGGGCAATGCAGGTCCGCTGAACCAGAACCTGCATTTTAACTAGGACAAGCACAGGTCTGGACCGTGTTAGAACAATGTCTGCAGTGCAGTACTTCTCAGGGGCTTCCCTCCCCCAAACGAGGCTCAGCTACCTCCCAGAAGGGCCCAGGTAAAACAGTTCCCAAGTGTATTTTCCCCCCAAGACCCTTTGCTGCTGGGCACCTCCCAAGGCAAGTTTTCCTCGGGGCTCCCTTGGGAGATGCCACACCGAGTGTCGCTGGCTTGCCCCAGGGCTCTCGTTTCCCAGGCCTCTGAGATGTGTCCAGAGCGGGCCCTGCCCACTGCACAGCAGGCCCTGGTGGGACTGCCTTCCAGAGGGTCTTGAGGACAGACCAGACGCTCCCAGGTTTGGGTGCTGCCCCTGCAACTGAGCCCCTGTTGGCCTGGACCAGGCTGGTTCACCCTTCCATGCCTCAGTTCCTGCAGCTGTAAAATGGGAATCATTTTCAGGCTGTAGGGAAGATCGCATAAAGCAATGCACGTGAAGAATTGGCTATCATCATCTGGGGATTTTACAATGTTCTGCAAAGGTGGCATGCTTTGCAAAGCTCTTTGAACACCACCCCTGCTGACCACGAGCAGCCCTGTGAGGAGGGGCAGCACAGGCTCAGTTTCCGATTAACAGATGGAGAAACTGAGGCCCTGAGGTCTCCCCTGCTGTGGAGAGATGGAGCCAAGGCTGGAACCTGGATCCATCAGACTCCAAACGCCCTGCCTTTGTAGGGCATGCCCCAGGTCAGCACCTGGTTCCCTGCACCCCGTGGCCAAGGGAGCCCCACATTGTGCCCCCACATCTGCTTCCTCCCTCCCCCCCTTCCTGCCCTCCCACCCACACCCCACTGAGCTCACACCCTGAGCTGGCGACAAAGAGGCTGCTGGCATGGATCGGGTTTGGGCCCATCTGGCAGTCATTTGCAATTCATTAGGGGCCCTTCCCTTCTCGCTCCTCCTTTCAACTTACTGCTGACTCCACCGCTCCCCATCTTTGGGGACACAGCACGCCTGCTTCTGCTGTTGGGTCAAATATTTACAGCAGATGTCCCACCCGCCCGTGTCAGCTGCCCTTGTTTATCCGAGGAGCAGGGGTAGGGCCGACATCCGTGTCCCCTGCTCGCCTCAGCCAGGCCTTGCCCACTCACTGCCCACTGCACCATACCCCCCAGCACCTTCCCAGGCACAGCCCATGAGGCACTGGACAGGGCGTGCCGTGCCTAGCACTGCCTGCTGAGGTCCCTCTCTGCCTCAGTTTCCCCTTTGCCCACAGCAGTTCTCGTGTGTTATTAGGGTATTCGTTCCTCGACTGCTCTCCCTGTAGGGTGTGTGGGGCCTGCCTACAACACCCAGGGTCTGGGACCCACCAGGGCCCTGAGTGGACAGGACTAGCAAGGACACAGAGTCCACTCCTCTCATGGACATGCAGCTCCTGGGGTGCAGCCAGTTCTGTTTCCAGGGCTTATTGACAAGGCTCTGGCCTGGTGCCATGGTCCTGCCTGGGGAGTACCCCTACCCTCACATTGTGGGAGCTCTGGCTGTTTTAGAATGCAGAGCACTGTGGGGGATCCCAGCGGGAATGTCCCCTGCCCAGCCCACTGTGCCCCTCGGTTCCTCCCCCGTGACCTTCGCTGGCGCAGTGGTAGTGCACCAGGCCCACCGTGTGGGCAGCGCTGATGCGCCCTCACGGCGGGGCCCTTGTTGCGCTGCAGAGGTAGGAACTGTGGCCAAGAGTGCAGCTCGGGCAGCCGCCTGGCTCAGACCCTGACTCCTACTGTGGGCTTCTGGAAAACTCCAGCCTCGTTCCTCTCCCCCATCACCTGGGATGTGATGACCCATCTCATGGGGCTGGGAATGGATGAGTTAATTCCTAAGGAACTCCCAGGAGCCCCCTCACATCCAAGATGTGAGGACCAGGTGCTTTTCACAGCTCCAGTTGCAGATGAGGCAGAAAGAGGAGTTCAGTGACTTGCCCAAGGTCGTGCGGCAGAGCAGGGCGGGCTGGCCACAGGGCCCGCAGTCACACAGTCTCTGTGGGTATTAGAAGAGGTACTTGGGGAAGCAGCTGAAACATCATAAACCGTCATTAAATGGGAGAGGTCAGCTAAACTAACCATCATTGTGGTGGTTTTTGCAAACCCCGATTTCCCTCCGGCTGGAGTTCCCATCTGTGGAGAGGGTAGTTCCAGGCTTTTCTGCAGCATCAGAACCTTCGTTGAGACAGTGGCGTTGAGGTTCAGAGAGCTTTTGCCACCATTTTGATCCATCCAGCATCGAAGTGATGAGGCCTCCCCGGCACCTGGGCCTTTGGGGCACAGTGGGGACCGCCACCTGGGGGCAGCTTTGAGACATGGCTTTCTACAGCCCTACCCATTTCTTCTGGGCTGGGGTCCCTGTTCCCCCCAGCCAAAGACCCCAGGCCCCCTGCACCCTCTCTTGAGCTGATCACTGTGCATGGCAGAGTGGTGGAGCTTTCCAGAAGCTGGAAGAGGCTGCCCCTCCCAGCCAGCCTCCACCCATGGCCCTGGCTCCCAGCTGGCCCCAGCCGGCCAGGAATCCAGATGTTTCCACCACCCTGACAGCGACCAGCCGGTGCCCGTGCAGTCCCCACCCTGCCAGGCCAGCCAAGGGGAGGCTGCTCAGGAGAGGAGGGGCCAGCGAGAGAGAGGAGGATGTTTGGCATCGTCAGACCTCCCGGGACCTCCTTTCCCAGCTCATGCTCCTAACATGTTCGACAGATGGCGGGCTGGCCCCGGTTCAGCTATCCAAATAGAAAAACAGGCCTGGCAGCCGGCGCTGCTTGACAAAACTGCATCGGCTGCCTGATTGGGTCCGGGTGCGCTAATGGGTTCTGGGGAGGCAGAGGCAGGAGGGAGCTGTGTGGCAGCTTTGAAACGCCATGAGAAAGTTGGGGAATTGTATTTATTTACAAATACTTAGAACTCTGGCTCTCCCAAGTGGCCTGCCACTGGGCCTCCATCCAGCCTGCTCTCCCTCCCCACAGCAGCCCTGGGAAGACGCTTCAGAAGGCGCATGAGGAGCCCTCCTACTGCCCAGCGGTGTGCATTCCGGGCGGCCGGGAACCGGGGCAAGGGCGCAGGCAGGAGGGCTCAGCCGTTGTGTGTGGTTGTTCCAGGCAGGATCTGCATTTGAACCTGCGCTCCCCCCAGTGTACCATTCTCCGCCTCCCCATGCTCTGGTGTCCTTCCCGTGAATGTGGAACTGAGTCACAATCCCCTACCCCAGTGGTTGTAAGGAGCACGGGTGGTACAGCCTCGGGCAGTGACACGCGTGACTGCTCAGAACGGTACTGGCACACTGGCGTGCATAGAGCAAGCTCCAAGCTTCATTCCGGGCTGTGCGGGGCTTTCCACCAGCACACGTGGGGTCGAGAGCAGGCACGCTGGGGTCCTACTCCCTGCACCCTCCTCTGCAGTCAGCTGCGTGCAGGGCTGTCCGCTGACCCTCTCAGGGCCCTAGTTTTCTTCTCCATACAGTGGGTACTGGGGTGCCTGCTTCCACAGGGCACAGATGAGGAATCGTCATGATGAGCCCCTCCTCAGCTTCTCCAGATGCCACATGGCTCAGGTCCCACAGCACCCGAAATCACCGTGTGTCCCCGGGGCCAGGCACGGTCCTGCCTAGTCATCCTTCCTGCCCTCATACCCAGGTTGTAGTGGAGAAACTCGATACCCAGAGAGGTCATGCAACTTGCCCAATGCCACACAGCAAGTTCGGCCATCCACCTCCCTGCCTGGTATCAGAGGAAGGCTGTGCACCCTCGTGCCCTGACCTCCGTGAGCAGCAAGTCTGAACCCCTCTCCCCGCCACAGGCAAACCTGCCCCTGCTGCAGCGCGAGCTCCTGCACTGTGCCCGCCTGGCCAAGCAGACCCCTGCCCAGTACCTGGCCCAGCACGAGCAGCTCCTGCTGGATGCCAACGCCTCTTCCCCCATTGATTCCTCGGAGCTCCTGCTCGAAGTCAATGAGAACGGCAAGAGAAGGACACCTGACAGGTACCTTGGGGGCTTTCTGTGGCTGGGGAGGGAGACAGTGGAGGAGACCAGACTTGACTCTGGGACCAAAGCTCCGCAGGCATCCTAGTTCCGGCGCTGAGGGAATTTGGGTCAATGCTATCGCCCACAGCGAGTGAGCAGGCTGGCGAAGTTCAGCCTTTCCTGCAGGGCCCGCTGCACAGGCTGAGTTCTGTGAGGCTGCTCTGTCCAGCTGTGGTGAGGCCTCCTGAGGACTCAGCTGTCCCCCTGGGTGGACAAGGGAGCAAGCAGGAGGGGACCCGGTCTGGAGAAAATTCCCTTTGTGTTGGATGTGGACCCCAAGTGTCTAGGAGCCTGGAGTACCCAGGCACACGGGCTGGCCCTCACTACGGGCTCAGAGATGGGTTCTTGTCCTGCTGCCAGGAGAGGGTGCCTCCCTCTCTTCATTCTCTCGATAGAGCCTCAGGCTTCATGGCCGCTGGGCCTGGAGCCACACCAGGGATGGGAACCAAGGCTGGGCCCACACAGACTGGTCTAATCTCTCTCTGTCTCTGTCTCCCCCTCACTCTTTCTCTGCCCGCCACCTCTGTCTCCCTCTCACCCCTCCTGCTCGGACCTCTATCCACGGTTCCTGGTTCCGTGACCACTGGCCTCCTGCCCACTCTCTGGGCCAGGACCAAAGAGAATGGGTCAGACCGAGACCCGCTGCACCCTGACCCCCTCAGCAAACGGCCGTGCACCCTGAGCCCCGCCCAGCGCTACAGCCCCAGCAATGGGCTACCCCACCCCACGCCGCCACACTACCGCCTCGAGGACATGGCCTTGGCCCACCACTCCCGTGACCCCTACCGACACCCTGACCCCCGGGAGCTTCGGGAACGCCATCGGCAACTCAGTGAGCAGTGCTTTGGGGGCGGGGGTGGCACACGTGTGCGTGTTAGCGGGAGCACCTGTGCACCTGTGGGGGGGAGGGGGCGTTCAAGAGCCACTGTGTGCACGTGTCTGTCCAGGAAGGACTCTGGAAATGGGGATAGAGAAAGGATTTGAGCGGGGCACTGGCCCCAGGGCCCAGAGGGCATCCCCACCCTGGCTGGGCCATGCCGAGAAGCCTCTGAGGGAGAGCCGCCTTTCCTGGGCCTCCCCCTCGGAGGAAGCTCAACATCCTCACCCTCAGGTCCCAAGGGGTCCCTTTGCTCCCCAGGGGCATACTTGTGGAAGTCACCTGTCCTGGGGCCCCAGCTGGACTGAGGCAGGTACAGACAGGTATGGGGCCTGGGGGGGGCCTAGAGCCGCTCAATTTGAGGGGCTCTGGCCATCAGCTGGGCACACACCCTTCAGGTGTGCTCAGCCCTGCTCAGCTTGTTCATCTCCTTGCAGAGTCAAGAAGAGGGAGGCTGCCAGGCTCTGCGGCTGGGGCAGAGGGAGGGTGGTAAATTAGGTTGCTGGGCCCAATTTCCATGTTGGGGGGGTTTGCTTCCCACACCACACCCAGCAATTCTAGGACACCAGCATAGTGTCCTACAATTGAACTCAGTTCTGACACTCTCCACCTGGAGATAGCATTAGGTTCCAAAGGTTAAGGGTTTCAGTCCTACAAGACTGCCTACCCCCTTCACATGCCAGTCACAAGTCCAGGGTGTCACCTGTGCTTCTGACCAGCCGACTGTAAATCAGGGGTTCACACAACCTCCACCTTGGTGTCAATTAGTTTGCTAGAATGGCTCACAGAACTCAGAGAAACATTTCCTTACCACAGGGCAAGGTGTGGGGGAAGAGGGAGAAAGTTCCATGTCCTCTCCGAGCATATCACTCTCTCAAAATCTCCGTGTTCAGCCACCCAGAAGCTCTCCGGACCTTCCTGTGAGGTTTTGTGAAGGCTGCATTATGTAGGCAGGACTGATTGAATCCTTGGCCACTGGCAGTTGATTCACCCTCCAGTCCCTTGCCCCACCCTGGAGGTCATGGGTGGGACCGAAAGTTGAACCATCTATTCACATGGTTGGTTCTCTGAGCAACCAGCGCTCATCCTGTTCCCAAGTCACCTCGTCACCATGAACCAAAGATACTGTTTTCAGTCTTTATGCTTAGGAAATCCCAAGGGTTTGGGGAATAGTAAGCTAGGAACCCTGGATGAAGACCACGTGTGAGAGATATGTTTCGGTCATCTGAATGACCAAATATTTCCTACAAGTCACATTTCACAGGTGGGATACACAGGCCAGGCAGGAAGAGACCGTGTGTGGGCATTTCTAGCGTGTGAGGTCCCCACATCACAGGAGCCCCTGCCTCCAGCGCATGGCTGGGCCCTCTAAGAGAAAGCGGACACCCCCTAGGACTCATGAGCCCTCCCTGAGCCCCACTGACCGACCACACATGCCCATCCTGCTCTTGGAGAGGGGTGAAAATGAACACGGAAACGCCAGATCTGTGTGAGCGTGGTCACTGGATGAGCCGTGTGAAGGAAGGAGATGGGAGAGGCCAAGGGACTGGGGGAAGCAGGGCTTTCGTGGTGGAGCGTGGGCTCAGGACTGCCTTGTCCTCTGAGCTCTGATGATTGGTTCCCAATGGCCTGCCCTTGGGCCAGTCACGTGACCTCTGTGCCTGTTTCCTCCTCAGTTGGCTGGCTCTAACCGGAGTCTCAGCCCTCAGGGTCACGTAAGGACCGAGGGAGTTAACCTGGAGCAGAGTGGGTGCTGTGAAGCCCAGCTGTTATTGCTAACAGTGGCAACAAGTCTGGGGCGAAGCACTCACCTCTTGCTTGCATTGTCACCCCTTACTCAGTTCTTAAAGCGGGTCATGATACATTCTGGTACGTGTGTGATGTGTTAGCACACCCACGTCACAGATGAGGGGGCTGGAGCCCAGACAGCGTAACTGACACACCCAAAGTCTTCTAGCCACATCTACCTGACCACTGACCATCTGCTAGGGACAAAGAGATGAACAGGACCAGCCTCTATCCCAGGGTCTCCTTGGTATATTGGAAGAGCAGCCTAGAAACAGACGGAGGCTCAGGGCCCCGATGAGGGGCCAAGAAGCAGGGTCAGCAGATCCCTCACCCCGTACAGGCCGTCCCTTCACCCCCACCCTGTGTGAGCTCCCGGGGCCCCTGCCTAGGCAGCAGGTGACAGTGTCTGGCTCCCTGTGGCCGGGTCAGGCAGGTGCTATTCCCACCCGCTCCTGCAAATGCAAAAATAGATGCCAGCTGTCCGGCAGATCTCAACCACTATTTTGGTCGGGGCATTGGCGGAGCCCCTGGCTCTGTGAGCAACAGGGCAGGGCTGTGGACAGCGGAGTGTGGCTGCCACCTCGTACCCCTTCTGCAATTTGGGGAGGCAGTTTAAGTTTATGGGGCCAGAAGACCCTTAGGAGGAGGAGAAGGCCTAAATAGACCTCAGCCCAAAAGCATCCATGGCATTGCATCACCCCACGCAGGCAGGGGCACCCAGAACGGCGAGGGTGAGAGCACTCAGTAGGTCCAAAACCGTAAGGGGGGTCATGGTGGGGACACCCAGATGCTGCTGCCCTGGCATCTGCTTCACAGCTCACGGCAACTTTGTTTCTGACTGGGGGAAGGGCACCCCACTGTTCAGTCCCTGGAGCCATACCAGCCAGCAGCAAAGGCACAGCTCTGCTCAGCGGGACCTTGGGCAAACACGTCCCCTTCAGCGGCCTCGAGTCTCCTGTCTGTGAATTGCAAGACAGCAGAGCCTCCTTCGAGGTCTGCGCAGGGGTGAAAGATGTAAAGTACTTGTCACAGAGCCTGCTTGTGCCCGGGCTCTCCCCACCAACATGCCTCCTAACCATCTTCTTACCATGCTCCCTGAGACAGGCAAGGTGGGGGAACTGAGGCCCAAAAAGGCTAAATGTTGGTCCCAGGTCCCTTGGGGAATGGTCATCAGGACTACTGGCCTCCTGGCCTCCTGTCTCCCGAGAGACCTCAGTCAGACCAGTTCCCTTGAGACCCAGCCGATAAGCTGGAGCACGTGCCGGGCCAGCTCAGTCGAGGGGACACAGAATGGGTCCTGCCAGCCCTGCCCTACGGACTGACACAGCCTGTTGGGAGTTGGTGGGGAGGACTGAGACTAAACAAGGAAGCACCTACAATCACTAGAGAACCAGAGATACATGGGGCTTGAGGAGTTCTGAAGGCCCAGGGGTACTGAGGAAGAGGGTCCCGTGACCTGGGTTTTGATGGATGCATAGGAGTCCAGCTGGCTGAGAGGAAGTGGTAAACCTTGGGCTGGAGCCAAGCAGTCATCACATGGAGATGGCCCTGGGGACTTCTGAGAAGTCATGAGGCCCTGGAAGTGAGGTCTGAGGCAGCCTTGGTTGGCAGTAGGGGACAGAAAGTGTGAGAACAGTGGGATTTGGAGGCAGGGAGGTAGCGGAAGGTTGGCCAAAGCCAGAGCAAGGGATGAGGACTCTGGTCTTTTCCTCCCAAGCCTGAGTAGAAGCCAGGCCTGTTTCTGACCGCTAAGTGCAGTGGGCAAAGGGTCAGTGCCTGGGGTCCTCTTCTTCATCCTCTCTATCTTACTCAAGGGGGCACAGCATGTGGAGAAGCCTAGGGAGCACAGGGTGGGGCTTGGAGGAGTGTGGGGTGGGGCCTGAGCATCTGCTCCCTTCCTGCAGCGGTCCACGGGTCACGGCCAGAGGAAGTGATCGACCACAGGCTCACAGAGCGTGAATGGGCTGAGGAGTGGAAGCATCTCAACAATGTGAGTGTCCAGGCCCAGGCATGGGCACCACAGCTACTCCAGGGGCTTTGCCCAACCTGTGAGGCTGTGGGGACGGGGCTCAGGGGGTTTCCGCTTGCTGTGTGCCCAGCTGGGAGGCACACAGTGGGGCCTTGGGGAGCAGGGGCAAGGCCTTGAGGAGGGCAGGGTCTGGGCCATGGGGGCGGGGGAGTGCCCGTCTTGGCCCACCCTGGGGTCCCAGTCGCCCTACAGAACCTTCCCCTCTCTACTCCAGCAGAGAGTCTCCCAGAGGAAGGTCACTTGGCATGGGGGTGGGGCACCTCCAACCCCATTTCCAGGTTTATCATTGACCCCGCTTCCTTTTAGGGGGAAAGCCTAGGCAGAAGATATGGTCCCCAGGGTGGTAAAGGGGCAACTTTTTTGCTCTAGTCCATGGGGCAGACCATACCTCAAGGTTGGCAAGCAGGGCCCCAAGCCCCTGCATTCACTTAAGCCTCCCCCAAGTCTAGTTCTCTCGGGAGGGAGCAGTGGGCCATCTCCAGCCCTGCCCCAACTGTACAGGGGTCTTTCCATGCAATGGGGCTGGCCAAGGCCTAACAGTGTGGGAAAAGGGCCCTGCACGCTTAGGCGACCTAACCACCATCCGCAGCTCCTGAACTGCATCATGGACATGGCCGAGAAGACACGGCGGTCACTCACTGTGCTGCGCCGGTGCCAGGAGGCTGACCGCGAGGAGCTCAACCACTGGGTCCGGCGCTACAGCGATACTGAGGACAACAAGAAGGGCCCCACGACCACCACCGCCCGGCCCCTCAGCAGCTCGGCAGCAGCAGAGGGGTCTCAGCTAGGTACGTGGTGGTGGGGAGAGGGGGCAGAGGGAGCAGATGGAGTGACACAGAGAGCAGCATGGTGGTGCGGGGCACCCTGCTCTGTACACGAAGGGGTGCCCGGGGCCCAGGCCAGCAGGGTCCTCATACAGGCTCTGCATAAAACACCACCTAAAGCAGTCTCGCGAAAAAGGGGCACCTTGTTTGCTCCATAAAAAGATGCTGCCTGACCCACTAGGAAGCCCATACTCAAAACTCCGGCAGCCTGCGGGTCTCCACGTGTCCCCTGGATGATGATCATGGAAACCCAGAGAGGCTCCCAGTCGAATCTGAGGTCCATCCATCCAAAGCACCTCATTTCTGGACACTGCCCTGCCCATGCCCTAGCAACCAATACAGCCTTTCCACCTGTGGGCGCCCAGGACCCCTGCCAAGCGCACGCTCACACCGTGGCCCCGTGACCCATCCTGTGTGTGATGCTGCCCCTGTGTTTCAGACGTGCGCCGGGAGTTCGTGCCCAGGACCCTCTCCACTTACATGCCCGAGGAGATCTGGAGGAAGGCCGGTGAGTGGGGACGAGGGGCAAGGGGTGCAGGCCCAGGTGCCCTTGCCCTCTCTGTCTGTAAGGAACTTCTTTCTCTCTGGGGCGGGGGGGGGGGGGTGCGGGGTGGCTCAGGTGGGCCCCCAGCTCAGGACGGAGTTCACAGGGCTTCACAGGTGGGGCTCATGGAGGAGTCACAGTGCACTTAGTATCCAGGGTAGAATGACTGCCACCCAACACCTGCCGGGGAGCAACAGCACGCTCAGGTAAACAAGCAGGAGCACAGGCCCAACATACCTACAAGTGTGCAAGACACTGCACATGTGAGAGAGGCACTCAGAGCTGGAATCTGTGGGCCTTCTGGGCACAGCGTTGAGTGCGGCATCGGGGAGTGCCGTGGGGTCATTCACTGCATTGTGGGAACAGACTTTGGGGAGGGGCTGAGCAGAAGCTAGAGCCCGTGGGCAATAAGCGCCTGGCCGGTACTCAGGGGTGGGGGCAGTGCAGAGAAGAGGCGGGATCCCGATATGTTTCGACTTGTGGGTGGATTTAGTGTGAAGTGTGACTTAGAGGTACACAATCTCAGGATCTTGAAAGCCCAGAAACCCAGGGTCCCAGCTCAGAGCTGGAGGCTGAGGGGCCAGACAGGCAGCAGCTAGCTGCCCAGACCAAGGCAGGGGGACGTCCTGCATAGGACAACGGGTGTCCTCATTTCCCTCGGCCTCTTCCCTTCACATCCATCTGGCCCACAGCAGGGCCTCATGGGACTCTTGGTGACAACCATGAGGAGCTTGAGTGGTGACATGGGGGCAGGTGGCTACAGATGGCACTGCCAGCAGCTCAGCACACAGTGTGCAAACACTTGGATGGGAGGCCTAAAGGCCCTCTTTGCCCCTTAAATGGGGGCCCTGCTTAGTCCCGCCCCAGCCTGTCTCACACTATGCTGCAGGGCGGTGGTGCCAGGTGAGCTGAGGCGGGCAGGAAAGGCCGTGGGGGTGGTTTAGTAGCAGGTGGGGCCACGTTGTTCCCAGGGTCAGAAGGCAGGGTGTAATCTGAGCAGGCTTTCTGGCCACAGCAAGGACAGTGCTCTGGATCCTCAGTCGTGAGCAGGCAGCAGGGGCAAGTGTAGGGGAGAGAGCAGAGGGCTTTGGGGGGAAATTACAGCACAGAACCCTGGACGGGCATCCTCTGGGCTGTTGATGTGTGGCAGGGTGAGGAAGACAGTCCATAGAGCAAAACAATACAGCTGTGGCTCTCAGAGTGAGTGCTGAGACCACCAGCAGCAGCAGCAGCACTTGGAACTTGTTAGTAATGCAGATTCTAGGGCCCTCCCAGGCCTCCTGCCTCGAATCTGCCCCTGCACGCAAGAGTTTGAGCACACTGCAGGAGCTGATGAGCTTGGAGATTTGCCCCATGATGATGCTCGCACACCCATATAGAAAAGTTCCTTTGTGCACAAGCCCCACTCCCAGGGTTATGGGTGGAAGGCCCGGGAGACATGGGTAGGCTGGCCCATGTGACCATGGCCACTTGTCCTTCTGCAGAGGAGGCAGTGAATGAGGTGAAGCGGCAAGCGATGTCTGAGCTGCAGAAAGCTGTGTCAGACGCCGAGCGGAAGGCCCACGAGCTCATCAGCACAGAGCGCGCCAAGATGGAGCGGGCCCTGGCCGAGGCCCGGCGGCAGGCCTCGGAGGATGCCCTCACTGTCGTCAATCAGCAGGAGGACTCCAGTGAGGTAGGGGCCCACTCCACAGCCTGAGGCCAGGTCCAGGGCTGCTCTGCCTCCTGGGTGGCCCTGTGAGCCCTCAGCGCCCCATAGTCTGGTTAGGTGGGTCCTGTGGGTGTCCCCATTGTACAGATGGAAACCAAGAGCTCCAGGGGGGTGGTAACTTGCCCAAGGTCAGCCTGGGAAGTGGCAGAGCCCTTATTTGCATCCAGGTTTGCAGACATCAAAGCGCATGCTCTCTCTAACCTGTGAAAGCAGGGGGCAAGAGGAGGGTGTAAAGACCCCAGGTGGCATCTAAAGCACCTCCTCAGCTCCTGACACAAGTTCACATGCAGGAAAGTTTCAGGTTGTCATCATGCTGGTGTTTGGACATGAGGCCTAGAGCATTTCAGGCTGGACCTGCGTAGGGAAAAGGGTGGGGTGTCAGGCAGGGCTAATAGCAGTGATACCCGAGCACTCCTGGAGGAAGTGGGCCAGCATGCAGGGATCAGGGAACAGTGCCATCTCGGGAGGGGCAGCAGGGACAAAGGCCAGGTGGGAGCTGGGCAAGCCTGGCTCAGTGAGCATTGCAGGAGACCAGTGTGGCTGAGCAGAATGGGCCTGGGACAGCAGGAGGTATTGGAGTCTGAGAGGCTTTGGAGGCTAAACAGGCATGTGGGCCCCTCTCCAGGGCAGGTTTGGACTTCCTGTCCCATGACCTGGGGCCTTCAACAGTGTCCCCACCCACCTGCCACTCACATGGCTTGTGGAATTGTGCAACACAGCAGTGTGAGCCCACTCCCCCAAAATGCCCCAGCTGAGGGGCCGTTCCTCCAGTGGTCACCACAGGCACTTTGGGGTCTTTCTGTCTCACTTGACACTCTGGCTGGGTCTAAGCCGGTTTGTTTAGAGGGTGTATTTCCCCACTCTGCAGGCAGGCTGAGTTCTCTGGGGATGTGGAGTGGCCCAGCCCTGGCTCACCCCAACCATTTCCTTCCCCCAATCCAGAGCTGCTGGAACTGTGGACGCAAGGCCAGCGAGACCTGCAGTGGCTGCAATGCAGCGCGCTACTGCGGCTCCTTCTGCCAGCACAAGGACTGGGAGAAGCACCACCACGTATGCGGCCAGAGCCTGCAGGGCCCCTCGGCGGTGGTCGCTGACCCGGTGCCAGGACAGCCGGATGCCACTGTCAGCCTGGGCCCCTGCCTGCCCACAGGTGCTGCCAGTCCCAGCGAAGCTGGCTCCACGGGGCCATCTCGCCCAGGCTCCCCTGGCCCACTGGACGCCGCACCCCGCTGACCCCTCCCAGACACGCTGCTCGGCCCACAGACATGCACCCACCAACCCTGCCTGGCCCCGGTTGCCGGATGCTTCGCCGGGTCCTGGGAGCCCGACCATTGGAGTCACTGCTGCTACTGCTTCTCTCCAAAAGAAAACACAGAACCAACAAAAACTGCATTCAACGCAACTTCCTCAGCTACCTGATGATTTCACGCAACAACCTCTTCCAGCACCCTCAGAACCTCCCACTGAGCTTTAGACAGCGGAGCAGAGCGGACGCCAGCTGGAGCACCACCGGCTTGTCCACTGCCCTTCCTCCCTTCTCTCCCCCCTCCCCCTTATTCCTGTCTTTACGACTTTCACACACTTTCTCTTTAATGAAAAAAAAAACTAATTATTTGGGGGCTTATATTTTCAGTGAAGAATTTTGGGGGATTTATGGCAAAAGAGCTACTCAGAAATGGACAAAGAAAACTTTGGGGGTTTTCCCCTTCCTGATTAAAAAGGAAAAAAGAAAACTGTTATTTTATAGCCAGAGATCTGAGCCTCTGCGTCACCGAAACTACCCCAGGGGTATGTGGCCGATTCGGTGAACACAGTGAGAAAGACTTCAGTTTCTGACCCAAGCATTTTTGGTTTCAGTTTGTTTTTTTTTTCCTTTAATGTCAAACTCTTTGGCTTTAAGTAGAAATCCAAAAATTTTTTTAAAAAAGTAAAGGAAGCATACTGTAAACTACCTTGCCAGCTAGCCAGCCAAGGATGCCGCACACACCTCTGCTCCAAAGGAAATCCAAAAAGCAGACAGGAGAAGTCAAAACCCAAAATTTGTTTCTCACTGCCAAAGGACTTTTTCACTGTTTTCCTCCACCCTTGGGTTTGTTCAGATGTTGGTCTTTTCCTTCAATTCTGTTTTTAGAGTTTGGGATAATGAGGTTTGGAGGGTTTTGCCCAACAAGAAGCGACTTTTGTTTCTTTTCGACTACACAGCAGCACCTTGCTGGGCTCAGGGTGGTGGGCCTTGTGGCCCTCAGCGCCCCGCCCACCAGGGCGACCGGGGCGTCTGCGCGTGCGCGCACTCGGGGCAGGCCCAGCCGCGGGTCAGTTCCACCACGTGTGCAGGGGAAGATGCCTCAGTCTGTCCTCACACCCTCTGTGAATTTTCATCCCATTTCATTTCTTCCACTTGTGAAAAAAAAAGTGCTAATGTGTCCTTCCCAGAGAGAGCATCATTCAGAAACAAAACTGTGACAATCTTTCGGGTTGATTCTCGAGTGCTTTCCACAGCACACGGAGACGACAACTGCACCTGTAACCACTGCTTCTCCATGCTTTCTCCTCTACCTCTTCTCCCTCCTCGGCGCCGCCCGCCCAGCTCGTCTTTGCCCCTGATGCCACCCGCCCCCAGTGTCCCCTGAACCTACTCTTCTTTCTTCACACTTTTGCAGAAAAAGAGAAAGAAACTACAAACAACTATCCACCCTCTCCACACCTTCTGAAGACTTAGTCAGCTGTGTATAACCTCACTCTCTGTCCAGCTGATCCTCAGGGGGAATGTCCCTTCACTCGATCCCTGTCCCTCTACCCAACACACGTCCCCCAGCGATCTCGAGGAAATCAAGGAGTGAGGAAATTCTCACGCGTACTCGATGGGAGGACAAACAGCAGCATGGTCCTCAATCTAGCGTTTCCTTGCGTCGCTGTGAGAAGTTCCCAGGACTGGAGTGCAATATGGAGAGTGACCAGCTACTGAAACTGGGGTTCCTGGGGGGCCCCACCGAGAGGCAAGAAGTCGATAGTGTACGTTAATGTGAATGTATATAGTCCTTGCAAAGGTCCAAATAATGATACTCATGATGATAATAAAGAAGAGATGTTTGCCAAATAAAAAAAAAAATTCAGAGAAACTGCAGAAGTACGTAAAGTGTAGGAAACTGACTCTCAGAGAAACCTGAACTGCGGTCCCATGGGGAGCGATGGGTTTGTATGGTTCCTGCCGTTGTTTTCAGAGTTGTAGGAATTCACTCTGTGAGTCTGGAAAAGAGAGATTCCATCTGACTCCACAGGCCAGGTGCCGTCCCACACCACACCTGACAGTGAAAACCCAACTCTGAAATAGACCTAACTCCGAGATAGATCTACCTTATCCTCCAGAAAGATCCCCATCCCAGCCACCATCTCTGTTGCCTGGAGCGTGGGCCCACCAGCCTCTCAGAGGTTTGCTTTTGTGGATTTCAGAAAAGCAAGGATCAGTGTGGGATTGGGGCTCTCGAGACAGCGGAGGCCCGCCTGTCGTGTTCCCAGCCTGCTGTCTTTCTCTCCTGTAAGTGTTGACCCTATTAAAACTGCGGCTTCTGACGTGCAGTGGAATGGGTTTGCCTCCTTGCAGGTGGGCGCTTTGAACTCTGTTCCCACCAGGTTGTGCCAGTGAACGGGGTGTCTAGAGAGTGTATGCCCTGGATACACTGTGGGCCTGGGGGAGGAGGGCTAAGACTCCTAATCACTCACATCCCTGCTGTCTGAACTTAGGGGTGAGGCTGCCAGTCCAAGGTGAGTCATGGAGGAGCCCCTCACCTGGGCAGACCTCTGTTTCCCTTCCCCTTGCATGGTCCCCCTTTGGGGACAAGCAGGTATGCCAAGGACACTAGAATGTTGACCAGCTGGCAATGTCCAGGCCAGACCAACCTCCAGGGCAGAACCATGGGCTGAGGGCCTGAGGCAGGGCAGCCCCACCCACCCCAGCCATTGGGAAGAGGGTGCCCTCAAGCCAGCATAAAAGACTTCCTGGTATGTTTCTCACATCCAGAACCCACGTACCCAGAAGCACCCCCTGGTGGGGCTGCAGAAGCCTAGCATGAGGGGCTGGCCACCGGCCCACAGACAGAGCCCCTGCCAGCTGAGGGCATCCTCAGGAACAGGATGGGAGCAAAGTGGGGTGGGGCTGGGAGGGAGGAAGCCAGGCCCAGAGTGGATGGGGCCAGGAGGGAATGACCTGATGAAGGCAGCTCCTCTGGCCCCGGGACCTTTGAGGGAGGTGCTGGAGCTCCCATCCATTTTTAGGGAGCTGGTGTTTGTCAGTCATGGTGCTTAGGCCCCATTTGGCCAAAGACCTCTCAACCAAGCATGGAATCAGTAGCTCTGGGGGGAGGGCTAGTGATGCTGATCATGAGTGTCCATGCAGCACCTGTGTCTGCAACTGGAGTGCCTGCCTTTCTTCTGCAAGGAAGGGATGTAGCCTCCTGCCCTGTCAGAGGCCAGGCCATCCGGCCCTGGCACCTCTCAAGCTTACACACCACCGACCAGGGCTGTGGTGTGCAAGGGCCTTCTCCCTACAGGTGACCGCCAAGATCCAACACACAGGCAACCCCAAAGCTCTGTGAGATGCGGCTGCTGGAAGCCCCCTTCCCCACAAATCAAACCAAAATGGCAGCTTTACCTCTCCTGTTCCGGGACCAAAACTATGACAGGAAGGCAGCAGCCAGAGCCCGCAGCCCACAGGCGGAGGCAGCACCCTGGAGTGTGACCCTCAACCTTTCCCCTCCTCTCACCATCTCTTTATTTTCTGTCCCACCCTAGACACAGGCTGGTCTTTCTCTTAGGGTGTGTCACCATCCCAGGTGGTCTCTGGGGGGTATTTTGTTTGCAAAGACCAGTGCCTCCCATTCTGGGCACGGACAGGCTGGCGCACCCCAGACCTCACTGGAATGGAGAGGGTGCCCGTTCCCCTGGCCCACCAGGACATGGGAGGGCTTGGGTGTTACCAGGGCAGAGAGGAAAGCTGGGGAAAGTCTCGGGGGTCCTGGAGGGTCTGGACTGCAGGACGAGAGAAACCTGCCTCCCAGGAGAGGGCTGGCCTGTGGGCTCAGCAAATGGGGTCACTCATCAGGTTCAATGGCAGAGGGAGACGGACGGGAAAGGTGCAGGGCAGTGTTGGTTTTGGTTTCATCCCAACAACGAGGTGGAGAGAGACCAGCTCAGGCCCTAACTTTCACCTGTTTGCCAATTTTTTCCAAATATATTCTCAAAATGACACCAAAGTCTTGTCTCTGTCACCCATGCACCTTGCCCATCCCAGCTCACTGCAGCAACAAATCCAGCCATCGTGCTGCCCGTTCCCTCAGGCCATGTGCAATGACTTACTGATTCCTTTGTTTCCTCGGTGCATCCTTCTGACCAGCCCAGTCACCTGTCTGGCCACCCATTAACCCTCCCACCCATCCACCCACTCACTCACCTGTCCACTCATCTGACCTTCCATCTGCCACCTATCCACTCACTATCCATTTATCCAGCCATCTACTCATCCGCCCATCATTCTATCCATCCATTACTCGATCCCAGCTGTCACTTGATCCCCTCCTCCCCCATTCATCCTTTGACTTATCCCCCTGCCCTTCTGCCCTTCCCCCTTATACATGCCATGCGTGGGTCTGTCCACCCATCCTCCAATCCAACCCACACAACCCTGCCTCAGTCCACCCACCCACCCACCTCTGCACGCACTGAACCCGGCAGCACCACCAACCCCCTCTGCATTCCAGAGCTTCCAGGGTACTCTGGACACTCCCATGACCTTGGCTGCCCTAAAGGAACCCACCTGTGGGCATGGCCGCCCCCTCCCAGTGCCCCGATTGTTGTTCCAGACCTGCTCCAGAGACAGACAAGTCTCCGTTGCAGGCATTATGGGCAGACTGGACCAAAGTCCTAGCCATAGCTCTGGCTAGTCGGTGCCCGCCGTGGGCCAGGAGTGTGAGTTGAGAGGTAGCCCACATACCTGCTCAGGAATCCTGTGGCCAGAGCCACCAGTCAGGGTGACCACATTCCCTGACAAAACCCCAACATTGTGGGGTGGGGCTGCCTCTCCTCTCCTTGCCTCCAGGGGTCACTGCACCCAAGGAAGTGTCCCCAGGAAAGGAGGGGAAGGGGAAGAAAAAACCCAATGCTGGCCTCCCCCCAGACACCAGCTCCTAGAGGCCCTCTTCTCTCTGATGCTCATGGTCACACTGCCCCACTCCTCTCCCATCTTCCATCCTGGGGTCCTGGGCATATGGGAATCCACTCTTCAGAGCTCTGGGTGATGCAGGAACAGGTCCTGCTCAGGCTGAATTTGGCTGATGGTGATAGGTGTTCCTGGGAACCGAGAGGCCCAGTAGAGGCCCCCTGCCCAGCTCTCCCCAGCGGCCTGTTTCCACAGGCCCTCAGGCTGCTACACAGGGCATTTTCCAACAGAGGGGGTGCTGGGATCAAGGTCCTGGATTATACCTCTGCTGGCAGGAGGGGAAAGAGAAAAGGAAAGCAGCGGGGGCCCATGTCTGCTCCCTGGACACCTCGCAAATGAGGTCTGAGGGAGCTGAGTGTCTGTGATGGCCCCTGTACTGGTGCCCCAGAGTTCCAGAACACCCATCTTGCATGCTTCCATTCCTCCTGTTTCAATTTAGCCGGCCCTGGAGTACCGCCACAAATGCCCCTCGTAGCAGGAATGCAGTGTTAGGACTCTGGGTGGAACCTGGTTTTTAGGTATTAGAATGAAGGCATCAGGTGCCCTCACTCCCAGCCTGGACAGGGGGCTCAGCCAGGCCAGCTGTCAGCTCACCCACTGTGTCCTCCACAGGCCAAGGGGTTCGGGCCATGGAAATGGGGCTAGGGCACAGCCTCACACAACCTCTTGGAGAACACAGTGGTTTTCCACTTCCTCTTTCCTCTTCCTCTTCTTGTTTTTTTTTTTTTGTTTGTTTGTTTTTAATTCCCCAAAAGGAGTTGGACAGCGAGTGCTGGGCCATTTTCCTGTGACAGGTTTCCCTCGCGCTGTGCAGGACCCGTGGCATGCCACCCCTGTCACGTGTCCTCTGATGTACTCTGTTTGACCCGGACGCTGTGAGATGTTACAGTTCAGGTCACGTCAGTTACCTCTGTGTTGTGAAATAAAGCCCAACATTTGCCATCCTGGCTCTGCCTCTCCTTGCATTCCAGGCGACTCTGGCTAAGCCCCATCTCACACGTGCATTCACTAAACGTGTGTGGGGAGCTTTCTCAGTTCCAGGCAAGAAACACAAAAGCCTGCCCCAAGTGGGTGGACAACCATGTGGCGTAAGTTGAAGTGTGATGGGACATGAGCAGTGACCCCTTCTCCGTCCACCCACAGTCTCTCGTATGGTGCATTTTCCAATGTTGTGTCCTCAAAGTGACCTGGATGACCTTCAACCCTAGATGACACCCATGGCTTCATGACCCCGAGTCCCACTGCCTGTGGCAGTGCTGGGCACTTCCCACAAGACCCTGAAGGTGGACACCAAGGGAAGGGACACCTTGACCCCCAAGAAGCCAAGGTGTCAGCCATGGGATCCTGGTTCCTAGGGGAGGTCCCATCCAGAGTAAGGTGCCCAGTACTAGTACCCCTGTTTCACGGGTGGTCCCTGGGGAAGGGGTGTTATTAATACACAGGCCCAGGCTTGGAACATAGTGTATTTTGAAAGACGTCATTGCAAAGGCCAGTGTGGGGGCGAGGCTGTCCACACGCCAGGCGGCTGGCTGGAGCCTCAGCTGGGCCCAGTGTGCCAGCAATCTCAGCATACAGCAAGATGACCACGTTTTTCCATTGCAGAGGTCTGAGCTCAGAGGGAGGCTGCTAGGGACTGGGCCTAAGTCCAGCGGCTCTCACCTAGAAACAGCTCTGTGCTGCCCTGCCCCCCATGTGGAGGTAAAGGAAAGGGCCCTGACCAGAGGTCCTGTGTGGGGCCTCAGACCCACAAGAGGGCAGGCACCAACTGCTTCATGTGAGGGAGAAAGACATGGCGGCTGCACTTCCATCCTTGTCTGGCCAGCCTTGGGCCGAGGCCCTGTCCTCAGTGCAGACGTGGACGCTGCCCTTGAGGCACTCTGGCCTGCCAGGGGAGACCTGGGGATGTGTCGCGTATG